CACCCGCCTGTCAGGACAAGGGTGCCTCCAGTTACCACAGCCCGAAGCTTTACCACTTTCCATAACCTCCTACCCTGGGCCTCACTTTTCCGGCTCTAATAGGAGTGGGCTCTAGGCCAGGCTTCTCCAACGTTAACTTGCACACCAGGCACCTGTGGGTCTTGTTTAAACCATAGACCCTGCTCTAGCAGGTGGGGGTAGTCCGGAGAGGCTGCGTGTCTAACAAGCTCCCAGGTGATGCTGATACTGCTGACCCCGGGACCACACTCTGAAGAGAAAAGAGTAGGTGGACTCTTGACTCCTTCCCAGTCCTCAGCCACCTTTAGGCCTTGTTCCTACTGGTGTCCACGGTTCGCAACACAGTGAGTCAGGACAGCGTGGCCCTTACATGCTTGTGTCTGGAGATAGGTACATCTCGTGGTCCACCTATCTTAGTTGTGTGACTCTGGCCCCTCATCGGACCTCTCTGTGCCTCCGTTTGCTGATCTGCAAAAGTAAATACCAACAGCGTCTTTCTCATAGGTTTTTGGGGGGAGTTTTTGGTGAAAGGCTAGTAAGAAAATGCTTATAAAATACTTAATACATTGGCAGTAGTCGATGAACATTAGCCATTGTTAGAATCGTCATATAATGTGTAGATACACACATTCGTGCATCTTCTTGTTTAATATTTCTCTCTCCACTTAATTATCAGAATGACATATGTTGTCGTGTTCATTAAAATAGCCCCAGAACCTAGCACAAGACTTGGCACACAGTATGTGCTCAGTAAATATTTATGGATAGAGAGGGAGGGAGGAAGAAGAGAAGGGGAAGAGGGAAACTGTCCGAGCCACGAGGGGCCACAGGGCTGAACAGATCCACTCTTCCGTTACACAGGCCGGGAGAAGCCCAGCCACGTGAGGCCTTGGCAACTCCGCTTTCCATCTGTCCCTTGGAGCTCCCTCTCAGGGACTGGCTGCCTGTCTCGTGGCCTTCAGACTCCTGCCTTCAGCTTCTTCCTTCACTCTGGCTCACAACTGCTCAAGTACCTCCCCACCTCCATCCCCCCAGAAAACCCTTCCTTCCACCATCTTCCCCTTTCCCATCCCCCTCACTATCATATTTCTTGAAAGAGTAAGTTGACAGGCGGCCAGCCCCGTCTTCACCTCCCACGCATTCCTCAGCCCACGGCAATCTGGCGCCCACCCCCACCACTCCTCTGAAAATGCTGTGAAGTCCCTGACGCCCTCTGAGTTTGGCAAAGCCTCCGTTCCTTTTCCATCCCCATCCTGCCTGGCCTCTAGGTAACTTTCTGCACTGTTGTTCACTCCTTTCCTCCTCAAAATTTCCACTGGTGTGGCTTTACTGAGATTGCCTCCCACAGCTACATTTTCTCCCCTCGTTTCTCAGGTTCCCCTTTCCCTCTCCCCACTTTTGGCCTTTCTCCTGCCTTAGGCCACCCAACAAAATGCTGACCCCCCCCCCCCAAATCTCGGTCCCCACATGCTGCCTAGGTAATGTTCAAAAGCAAAGCCCCTGCAGAGCATTCCAGGTAAGAGCTGAACTCAGGGAGGTGTGGCATCTCATCCAGGATCTCAGGAACTGGTACCTCTTTGCCTCAGGCTTCTCTCTGTGGAGCAGGCTTAATGTTGGTTCTGACCTCACGCAGTGAGTGTGAGGGTTAAAAACC